CAAGTATTGAGCTCCACAATCTTTTTTTGATAATTCATGTTTCTACAGCATTTGTAGAAACATTGTAATTTATTTTTTGTTCTTCCTCACGTACAAACATTACCATTTTTACTTTGTAAATTTTCTTAAAAGAATAGTTCATCCAAAAACTGCGAATTCTGTCATAATTTTACTTGTGACGTAATTCCTTTAAATCAGTGCTCCAAGGGGGCCTTAAAATGACTTCAAATAAGACAAAAAAATAGGGATGCACAATATTGGATTTTTGCCGATATCCAATATGCCGATATTTTTCAACTCATTTTGGCCAATAGCCGATGCCGATATATTTCCTTTTGTTTGGAAACAACACCAAGACACTCCTGTGCAGAAATAAGCAAATAATTTTTAATTTTGGTGAGTTTTTAAGAACTCATTTGTTAGAATTAAATAAACAATAACAAAGTTATTTTATAATGACAATACAATGAAGATTTTAAAATAAATAAACTAAATTCAATCGCTGTATTTTTTTACAGTTGTAACCTTAACATTTTATTTTAGGATTTAACCTTTGTAAATGGTCTAAAGCAAAAGAGTTGTAAAAATTGTGAAAATCTTTTTTAGAGCTCGTAATTTGTTTAAAAAATTTTTTGTAAGTGTCGTGTTTTTTTTGTTTTGGTTTTTTTTTCTTCATGAAAGCTTTAGCTTCTGACCTTTAAATCAAAACATATGCTACTCATGATTTTATGGCATCAATTACAGCTTTATTTAATCAGAAACACAGTCTAAATATTATTTGTGTATTTTGCGTTCATCTTTTTAGAAGTAGGCCAACAGCGCCCCCTACGAAATTAAAACTCCTTACTGTTACTTACACTGTTGACTCAATCACACACATGAACATGTGAATCTAATCATCATTCAGGCAAAAGTTCGCTTCAAGAATGACCACACTGCTGACGTGATTTAATCTCTAGCACACCTTGAGCATGTGTTAGTTAATCCACTTATCGGCATAATTTTTCATATCGGGCCGATGCCGATATTTATTTAAAGCCATTCTCGGCCGATTCTGATATTGGTCCGATAATATCGTGCAAACTTACAAAGCAAGCATTAAAATAAACTGAAACAATTACAAATCAAGATTTTTTAACTCCAAAATCTTCTTTGAAGAGCCATGTTTCCACTGGAAATATGAGGTGGCCTAATTTTCAAAGTGTGATTTCTAGACCTGGAAAAGTAATTTTTAATAAGATCTTACACCTCAGCGAGCATTTTTATAACCAATATACATTTTTCTTGTTATGCCAAGCTCTAAAAAAGTGTTCCATTAGAAATAGTGAGAAAGTATTAGAAAAATCTTTGTTGAGTAAATCACTGTGAATTACCTTCAAATATTGTAGTGGACAATGGGAGCCTTGGAGGTTGAGGCCCACTGCTTTAATGTTGATTTTGGTGTTTGTAGGGGAGACCGGTACGATGCGTTGAGGGCGTGTATCGGAGAGTCACTGTGTTTGAAACTGCACAAATTTCAGGTCTTTATGGTGAGTGAAAAGAATAGCAGATACAGTAGAATGTGAACCAAAATGTAATTTTTAAATCGATTAAAGAGCTAATGTCACACAGCAAAACTTTAACCCGATAAATTGTTTATTTTATTCTTAGTATATATTCTTTGCATAGATGCATTGCGCTACTGTTTGATTATCTTAAAATGTGTTTGTAGGTGGGCTGTGGTGCTATTGGCTGTGAGATGCTGAAGAATATGGCACTAATGGGTGTCGGATTGAGCAGATGCTCGGGAGAGGTGGGGATATACATCTGACAGGATTTTTTTCCCCTTCTCATTTACATGAGGAATGGAAAGTTGGTCCAATTCTTAGAATGCTATTTGTTATTCTTAGATATGCATCACAGATCCAGATTTGATTGAGAAATCCAACCTCAACAGGCAGTTTCTCTTCAGACCTCAGCATATACGGGTATCTTATTAATTGGATAGTACTTCACTCTTTCATTTATGAATTACATGTCTCATAAGTTGGATTTCCTCTCTCTGTAGAAGCCAAAGAGCACTACTGCAGCAGCAGCTTCTTTAGAAATAAACCCAGAGCTGCAAATAGATGCTCATCTGAATAAAGTGTGTCCCGCAACAGAGGACATGTACAGTGACGCTTTCTTCTCCCGTCTCAACCTGGTGGTCACTGCACTGGACAACGTGGAGGCACGGAGATATGTGGATAGGTAATTCATTAATTAAGAGCAGAAATAATTGTTTTTGTATTACATGTGTGCTTCATCGCACATACTTCAGTGGTTGTTTTGTGAACTTACAGTCGGAGTGTATCCAATCAGAAAGCTCTGTTAGACTCTGGTACCATGGGTACGAAAGGACACACTGAGATCATTGTCCCATACCTCACTGAGTCCTACAACAGCCATGTGAGTGTGTATGTTTGTGTGTGTGTATATACAGGTTGTGTGCCAGCTTACCTATCTGTTGTCCATGTTTTTGTTTTTTTTCCTCAACTGTGACCGTTTCTCTTAGAGAGACCCACCTGAGGAGGAGATTCCGTTTTGCACTCTAAAATCTTTTCCTGCTGTTATTGAACACACCATACAGTGGGCCAGAGACAAGGTTAGTTTTATTCTTTTATTTTATTTTTCTTTGTACCCATTACTGCTGTCATTACTGTCATGCCAAGTATTTTGGAGAACAGTTCAGTTTTCTCAAGTTTTTTTATATGGTTATCATTGAAATGAGAAGTGACTAGAGCAAATATTTGCCAGGGCAACAGTGTGACATTTTGAAGACACAAAATAAAATTGATTATTTAATATTTTTTGCAAGTAGCTTTTATTAGGTGTTTTTTCTAGGGCTGTCAAATCGATTAATCGTGATTAATCGGAACCAAAATAAAAGTTTGTGCTTACATAATATAGGTGTGTGTACTGTATTTAAGAAATATTTACATGTGTATATATATGAGTATATATTCATATTTATGTATGACTTATAATATATATATATATATATATATATATATATATATAAATATAAACAT